AGCTGACTTCCTTTGAGATAACCAGAGAACTGGTGATGTACGCCTTGAAAAGGCAAGGTTCCCAGCCGTCTATGACATCATCGACCGAAAGCGTAGGACTACATCTGGCGGAAATGCTAGATACTTTGCAAGATCGACTTGATTTTCCAGCCCAAGGATTGATCGAGTCCCTCCTTGAATCCCGAAAAAATGTCGTTCGTGTTTTGGAAATGGTCTTTCGTAGGGCTTTGCCTAGTGCAGATGAGACCAAGCCGAACGCGGTAGCCATTCTCGTCGCCATTGCAGCCGAAATTGTCTTGCTTGTGCTTGATGAAAACCAACAAGAGAATCGAAAGGAGTTGGCGATGGACGTCGCCATCGAGCTGGCCAATTACTTATTTTTTAAGGTGGCCAAAGTTGGTGGCTGGGTGAGTGGAATTTCATGTTCAGTGTTATTCGCTGTTTTTGTCTTTGTTAGTAAATAATTTAAGTAACATGTAGGCATACAAGCGAAATCGAAAGTGGAACTGAATCCGCTAATAATAACTTTTATGAAATCAAACCGAGTTTTGAGGAGACATTTAACTAATGTGGTTGGATGGAATGAACGTCTGCTATCTCGCAGCACTAACTAAAAAGAAACATACAAAATCGTTATTCATCGATTATTTTTCATTAATAGTTCGGGCGATTTCCACTGGGCAATGTTTATAATTATGCGAGAGTCGTTTCAGACCGTCCTTAAAAAACGGGAGTCGCACGGATTTCCGTTTTGAAAGCCTTAAAAAAAATTTGGGATTTCTTTGTGCTTCGTGGCGAGAAGCGAGACTTCTTATCTACGCCGATTTTCATTCGCTTTGAAGTTTTGAGGGACCAGTGATTCATGAAAGCGTAAGAGAATTTTGGCTTGTTCGCTCGATTGATGAAATCATGATAGCGAGCAATTTGTTATCGTATACTCTGAGATATCTAACTGTTTTACTGTTTTCTTAACGTTGTCCGTAACTGGCACTCATGTTCCAAGTAGGAACACCTGACCATATTTCATTTTTTGTGAGAATTTAATCTCTGAAACAACATTGAAACAATATGATGTTATCTTTAGCCGCCAGGCGACCGGAAGCCCAGCAGTCGGCGTTACGAGGTCGCCAAACAAAGTAGGTCGAACTCGAGCAATGCGAACTGAACTCGGGGCTACAACCATACTTCATGAATTCTTCAAGGCAAAAGAGAAACATAAATTGCTGTCATTTTCTCATTTTAGAAAAACTTCTGCCTATATGTTGAAGAACGTCATAGCGTTCACTTCTCCAAGCCTGTCGTTGAATCAGCACCTGACTTTTCCTGGCAGTTGGCGTTGACCGACCTGGTAGGCAAGATGAAGGAACGTTTCTTCAATATATAGATCGTCATAACCGATAAGCTTTCTAAGACGGAGGCTACCCCCCTCAACCCTCCTTACCCCTCATCCCTACCCCTTTCCCCCCTCCCCTTATGGACTGCCACCTTGCCGTGGTAGAGGGGCTTGTGCGTTTCTATGATCCTGAGAACTCAGCCGGCGGAGGCATGTCAGCCTCCAGTAGGTACAACCAAGCCGGACAGATCAACGGGGAGAAACCAGACTAAAAGGCAGTCAACTTTCAAGTTCTACATTTACTTCTTTGGAGAAAACTTCGTTCCTCGTGCTTGTCACATTAGCGTCTTACATAAAAGTGGAACGTAATACAAACTGTTAGATTTTCATCCGAAACAAATATCTGACTGTTTTTAAGAAAAATATATGAAAAATGTGAAAATGTAAAATACACTCGCAAAGGTGTAAAAGAGAATAATATTGAATGCTAAATACATTTTTCTGGTGTACTTCGCTTGAGCTTCTCCATCTTTTTTACGTGCTTCTACAAAGGGCCAAGACAGATGAACTGTTAGATTTTTTAGCAGTTAGATATATCGTAGTGTTTTATACAAAATGTGAAAATATAAAATACACTCAAACGCACGCGAGAGAGAAGAATAAATTGAAGTGGAGAATTGATAAAACGAGGACCTCTCCATATTGTTGACTGCAACGAAACTTTTCCAGCTTGTTTCCATGCTGTTAAATCCAGGCCGCTCCTCGAAACGGCTTTTCATGAATACGGTACATACTGATTCATCGTGTTTTATCTGCCAGTGCAACCGCGACTGGGGTGCCCTGGCTGTCCCTCAGCCCGCGGGTACGTAAACCTCATTTTATTTGATTTATTCTGACCGCTTAAACGCCCATAGGGAATTGAGGTTTAACGTTGAGAAAAATGGAAAGTGAGGATCAAGAGCAGTCTGGCCTGCGAGAAGGCTCTCCTTGCCGCTTCAAATCCGTTTTTGGCATTAGATTCTTACAATTGATCTGCAGTTAAGATATAAAAAGAGCGTGCCAGTGATCAGCAACTTCTTCGTTACTGTTGGATGCTAAGGGATGTTGTGCAAAACGCAAATTGTTACGTTTTTTCCGCAAAGAGAGGAGAAACCAACTTTCCTTCACGAATCGTGGAAATATTACCCGAAGGGGGGCATTATAGGAGGCGAGAGCTGCAAAGGAAAACGAGGAGGACTGGGGAGGGGTTGAAAGATTCCACTCAGTTCTCTTTTCGTTAACTCTCCCTCTCCGTCCCCCTTTACCTTTCGACCAAGACACTGAGTAAGACGACAATGAGAATGACAAGACACTAATCAGTTTTGGTCGTATCCGTTTTCTTTATTTTAAAGCGCTGAACAATACTATATTTTTATGACGACTCTCGGCAAAATTTGTCAGTCTAGTCATTCGCCAAACTTCATCTAATTGTAATTTAAAGCAAGTAAATAAGTTGGCAATGCACACATGTGTAAGACTTTTTATGGGTGGAAAAAACCTCAGATCACGTTAAAACGGATTGCTCACTGCTATTTTACTTCATAAATGCCTCATATCGCTCAAACATAACATAGTTGTTACATATGTATTTCATGTACTAGTAGATCAAAATTACTACGTAGATTGAACATGCTGAATTGATTGTAGAAGGTATCATGATCATAGAAGTAGTAATCGTTGTATTAGTAAGGCAGTAATACTGTTTTAGTGGCAACAGATCAAGAAGTGATGGTATTGTCAGTAGTAAAATAGAGGTGGTTATATTGTAGTAGTAATAGTGTAGTGTAGAAGTAATGATACTGAAGTGGCAAAAGCAATGATTATAGTATCGTAGAAGAAATGATTATGAAATAACTGTTTTAGCAATAACATCGTACTTGTAATAGTAATAATAATAAATACTTTTGTAATAGTAATAATCATAATGTTGTAACAGTAATAACAATAATGATGTTGTAAAAGTAATAGTTGTAATACTGTTAACAGAAGCTGTTACTTTTCAAGAATGATTATCAGTCTCCGAGAAAGACACTGGAGTTTCCTCTGGATTTCCTACCCGAGAGAAATATGGCTTTTCTGAGCTGTTGAACCACTTTTTCTACCTCTTGCGAAGACAAGTTACGATTGGTATCCATATTTTCTTGAACTAAACAGTGTACTCCCTTGACATGATTTTTAAAATCTTCCTAGAAATTAAAATAGAATATAAAATAAAATATGAAATGAACTTCTGTTCGCAGAGAAACATGCAGTATCTCGGTAAAGATATTGGATACGCCCAAAGGACCATGGATTCTCAGAATCTGGATAAGAAAAGGCTGTAACTTTTTTTGCTTGATTTAAGATTGCCTTGTGTCTCTTGACAGCCAGGCTTATGGGATGACTACTGATCAGTTTTATTGTGAATTTATGAGTTCTATCACTGAAGAGTATCGAATTAAATTAAAAAAGCCAAAGGACATCGAGCATTGCTTCATGCAGGCCATAAAACTGGCCGTGGATGTAAAAAAAAAAAAACCTCTTGTTGAGATTTTTAAATGAGCATTTATAGGAATCCATTCATATTTTTATAGTGGAATTACTCAAAATGAAAACCATGATGTGTCTGAGAGCTAAAAAAAGGAACAGAGCAAACCTAGTAGGGAATTAAAGGTAATAGATGCAACGCAGGCAGTACTAATACAATAAGGGAGGCACACTCAGTAGAAATTGCAATTTCGAGATTCAGTATTATCCTGCGGCAATCATAAAGGTGCATTTGTTCTCTTTTTTAAAGCACAGTTGATATCTGTACATATGTTTAAGCTAGATAGAAAGCATTCATCAATACTCCCACAACCATGTAAATATGTTTAAGAAACCAGTGTAAATAGCAATAAAAAAGGTTTATTTAAATGTTGTAGGTTAAAGCTTTGAGTTCCTAGGCAGCAGTAGAATACCGAGCAAGTGCAGCGACCAGGTGCAGCAATGCATTGATTAAAGCACGAGCGCTTTTTTTTATTATTATTATTATTATTATGTAAGCTCCTTAGTACCTCATGCCACGAGGTACTAAGGAGCTTACCCAGCGGGTAAATAAGTGAGCTTACCCAGTGGGTAAATAAGCTCACTTATTTTCTAATAATCACATTTTTACTTAATATTATCACGATGAGTTATACTTGAATTTTCGTTGACTTTTTTATGAATTCCCGGGTATTTGAGTTCAACACTTGCTTGGAATGATAAAAAATGTCATTAAAAAAATATGAAAGGATGGAAGGAAATTATAGAATCGTAGCTTTTAAGCCAAAAAAACATGATCATGACATGAGCCGGCTTGATTGAATCTTTTAGTCACTGATGTTTTTCTCTCTTAATCAAAAAAGGTCTTAATTCTACACTTTCAGACTTCATTCCTAAGACATCCAAGGTTTACTCAGATACCTTGTCTTGTAACAATTAAAAGATTTTCCCTCAGATGTAGTATCTATGTTTCAGTAAAAAAAAATTGTGGTCATTTTAATTAAGTGACCGACCTGAGAGCGACCCTTACACAAGTTGAGAAGACCTGGGAAAGCCTACGACGTCATTGTTACGTCAGTTTCTCGGATATAAATAGGGTGCTCCTGAAATTTTTCTTGGCCGCCATATTCATCTTTCACAGAGCGAGACCTTCAAAACGAAAACCTTCATCAATTTTGTAAGTCTACATTATTATTACCTATGTTAGAGGATCTAAAGCTTCGGTACAGAACTGTACTTGTCAAGATTGCTCAAGATCTGACAGAAGGGGAGATAAAAGAACTCCTATTTTTCTGTAAAGACCATATTCCGAAGAGCCTGTCGAGTAATTCCACCGCTGTCGTTCAAATTTTTGATCCCTTGGAAGACAAGAGAGTGATTTCGTGGGAGAAACTCAACTTCCTGACGGAGTTCGCCAACGCAATAAACAGGCAAGAACTTGTTACTCAGCTGACTGCATTTGAGTTGACAAGAGAACTGGTGGTCTACGCTTTAAAAAGGCAAGGTTCCCAGCCGTCTATGAAATCGTCGACCGAAAGTGTGGGAATTCATCTGGCGGAAATGGTGGATCTTGACCAAGATCGAGTTGATGTTTCAGCTCAAGGATTGATAAAGTACCTCCTTAAATCTCGAAAAAAAGCCTCCGATGTTTTGGACTTCATCTGCCGGAAAGCATTGCCTGATGCCGATGTGACGAAGCCGAACACCTTAGCCTTGCTGGTCGCCATTGCAGCCGAAATTGTCTCGCTTATGTTTGCTGAAAACCAACAAGAGAATCGAAGGAAGTATGCAGTGGACGTCGCCATCGAGCTAGCTGACCATTTATTGCCTAAGGTGGCCAACTTTGGTAGCTGGGTGAGTGGAATTTCATGTTCAGTGTGATTCGCTGTTTTTGTCTTTGTTATTGAATTATTCAAGTAAAATGTAGGTGTACAAGTGAAATCGAAAGCGGAACTGAATCCGCTGATGACAATTTTTAAGAAATTAAACCGAGTTTTGAGGAGATATTTAAGTAGTATTGTTGGATGGAATTAACGTCTTTTATCTCGCAGCACTAACTAAAAAGAAAACATACAAAACTAAAAAGACTATTCATCGATTATTTTTCATTAAACGTTCGCGGGAGAATTCAATCAGGCGATGTTTATAATTGCGCGAGGTTCGTTTCAAATCGTCCTTGCAAAATGGGAGTAACATGGATTTCTGTTTTGAAACCGGCTTAAACGAACATTGGGATTTCTTTTTGCTTTGTTGACGAGAAGCGAGATTTCCTACCTGCGCCGATTTTTATTCGCTTTGAAGCTATGAGGTAACAAAGTGATTCATGAAGATGTAAGAAAATTTTAACTTGATCGCGCGATTGATGAAATCATGATAGCGAGTAATTTGTTATTGTCTACTCTAATCTAACTGTTTTACTGTTTTCCTAACGTTGTCCAGATCGCTAGAACTGGCACTCATGTTCCAAGTGGGAACACCTAAACGTGTTTTATTTTTTGTGAGAATTTAATTTCTGAAACAACAGTGAAACAATATTATGTTATCTTTAGCCGCGAGGCGACCGGAAGCTCAGCAGTTGGCGTTATGAGTTCGCCCAACAAAGTAAGTCAAACTCGAGCAATGCGAACTGAACTCGGGGCTAAAACTATAATTCATGAATTCCTCAAGACGAAAGGGAAATATAACTCGCTGTCAATTGTCTTATTTTAGAAAGACTTCTGCCGATATGTTGGAGAACGCCATAGCGGTCACTTCAGCGAGCCTTTCCCTGAACCAGCACCTGAGCCGTGGCAGTTGAGATCAGTGACCAACCTGATAGGCAAGATGAGGGAGACTTTCCGCAGTTACTAAGCAACGTAGATCGTCATAACCGATTAGTAGGTTGTTTAAGTTGATTAAGTAGTATAAATGGTAAAGTTTAGAAAATAGTTGAACAAAGTCAGAAGCAAAATGGGGGGAAAATAGTAGAATTTAGAATTTAATATTTGAGTTTAGACAAACCAAATTCATTGATAGAAGATACTGTTTATCTAAATTTTTCCTTTTTTAATGTTTCAACAAAATTCATAGGGTAGTTGAATTTCACATAGTTTTATCAAGGGTAACTTGGGAATTTTTTAATTACACTGCGCCTGAAACTAGTTTGTCAAAAGAAGAGAGTTAATTCGCTTAGTTGTTAAGGGGTGAAGAACAGATTTCACAAAAATTATATGATTTGATAAGTTGTTTGAGACTCACTCGATAAAACGAAGAAGTCAGTTAAGATATCTGACAGGCGGAAAAGTGAAAAGAAAACTTTTCTTATTCAGAGGTGCAGTTAGCTTGATATGATAACAAGCAACTGTACATGTTAATGCACTCAAATGAATTCTTAAGTAATATGAGGTAACAGTTTGTGCGAAACTGTTAATGCATTCATATGAATTCATGAGTGATATTAGGAATTAGTATGCATTATGCATCATTTATGCCTACCAGAAGATAATGGTGGCAATTTTAGGCAGATGCCTCTAAAACTAAATCAATGGTCGACTGCAATCACGGTTACAGAAATCGACC